CAGACAGACAGAAAAATTTCAGTGGGGAATGAGGAGCAGTAGGCTGAGTTTCTGGAAAGAAGCGTCTCTACATCTGGTCTTCCTGAATTCTTGGGCAGCACAAGTTTTTCATCTTTTCCTCTGCCACTGTTCGGGTCAGGGAAAATGACACATGTTGGTGGGGCCAATAATAAATTTCCCTTCAGGAGCCTATGGATTTGAAAGCCAAAGCCTTCTTGGCATCTGTGGGTCTTGTCTCTTTGCCCATCAACAATAGCCAATCCACCTAGGAGCAATCCCTGTCCTGATTTTCTCTGTCAAGATCCCACTTGAAAGTAAGGCCTCAGGCTGGGGTTATGGCTCAGCCGTAGAGCGCTTGCCTAGCACGTGCAGGGTGTGGAGTTCGATCCTCAGCACCACATAAAAATAAAATAAAGGTATTGTGTCGAAGTATAACTAAAAACAAAATATTTTTTTTAAAAAGAAAGTAAGTAAGGCCTCATACATACCCAGTAGCCAAATGGAGGGAAGAAAGAAAGATACTCTCAGGTTCAATGTTCCCAGAATCTACTCCATGTTCACCTGATAATTTAATGCACTGCTACAAAACCTACCTAAAACACTGATGCCAAACAAAGCTGTTCTACTACATATTTAAAGTGGGAAGATGATGACACAAAACCAGATACCTTCATTTAAAATCAGAGTAACAAACTGAGAACATTTAATGTTCCCTATCTACCTGTCAAGGTGAACTTAGGATGGGACTCTAAGAGAAAAAGAGTATTGAACAGGTCATGCTTCAAAACAGTGATACAGAAAATGATTTCATTAGTAACCAACACAGAATCAAGGAGTTCTCTGTGGCCTCTACTACGTACGTTATCTTAATGATGAATTTTATGTATTCTAGGATAAATATCCTTAAAGTGTATCACTATACTTCTATACCCATTCTAAGAATTTTATAATTTACAAATTATTCTTTTGGTTTAGTACATATTCAATGTACTCTTCTATTCAACTTTACTGCATATTTTATGATGTTCAAATTTCCTACCTAGCACACTACTTACAGAATACCCAGTCACTTTTTAAGACAGTAGAATAGTAATTATTTATTCTAGATAATCAACTTTGTTAAAACTTGGCAAAATGATTAAACATAGTTACCATATACAAATACCTTGTTTAACATTACCATGAACATAATGCTATGCTTAAAAATGTTCAGTATTAAAGTCCACACGTTCTCCATACTTAAGAGTGCTGACATGCACTCTAGATCAACCAAAGAGGGCAGCCATGGCAGACAGTACTGCAGCCTTCGATGACCGGCACACTGCAATGCCCACATGCTTCTCTAGAGAGGACACCATTGCACCACCCCAGCTGGAGGCAGTCTGCAGCATGAGGTTACTCCTCTGTTTTGGCAGGCAGTTCTGACCTCAAATGGATAAGAAATGAGTGCAACAATATTGGATCTGATACAAATAAGCCAAATAGTATTATTCTGGTTGCTAAGATGAAAGTTTTATGGCAGCTGGAATGTGTCTTCAAGGAAATAGTAATAAAAATGAGACAGAAATCAACCAGAAAATTAGAATGTTGAAAGTCCTTTGACTTTATGAAAGCATGAATATCACCATGGCCTAGGAAAAATGACTAACAATTATTGGAATGGCAAGTGACATGTAAAGAATACGAGTATTGGGAGAAAAACCCTGAAGAGTAAGTACTGACTCAAGATACCTTAATCATTTCTCTACAGGGCCTCTGCCATAATCATAACCACCCCACAGAGGGTCCATTATCAGCATTCTCATTTTTAGGAGCACATCCCTCCTTTCCCTTGAATTGTTCCCTCCCATGGGACATGTCTCTATATCCATGGGAAAGAAAGAGAAGAGAGAAGGAAAATAAAATATTACTTTTTATTTTCTCAGGCACACAAGTGATTTGGGATACCAATTATTCAAGACATTTGCTGATTTCACATTTAGAACTTTCTACTTTCAATCTTCAGCCACCTTTGAAAATAATTTGCAGCAATCACTTTGTAGTTCAGAAGAACCGAGTTATAATTGAGTTGTGGAATAAGTTAAAAGTTTATGTTAAATGTGTGAGCTTATTGACTCCTGAGTTTTAAATATCCTGTGAAACAGTGATTCTTTTCCCTTTTTAAATGGCTTTTCAGTTTAAAGCAATGACCTTAAAGCAAATTATATATTAAAAACTTTTTACAACAGAAATCAGCAACATCTGATCTAAAATCTGGACAATATAATACTGACCATCACTTTGAGACAGTGAATAGCCTCTGGCTGAAACAAAATTCTACCACTAAGGCTATCAACCTGGGTCAGACCTTTGTCCCTGAGGGCAGTACAATCATCTTTTTCTCTGCAAAATGAATGGCATGATTTACCATAACATAACCAACCTGGAACATACCTAGTGACTTTCTCAAGCATTCTAAAGACAGCTTCACAGCTAACAAATATTGACAAATTTACGTCAGCACTCTCCCCAAGAGTAGTCCAATTCAGCACTGCACATCGACAAACAGCAATGCTGGGGATATATGCTACTTTAACCAGTTAGCTGAGTTACATAAAGGGCAAATAAGAGTAATGACTGAACTTAATAACCTCACAGGGAGGAAGGAATCTATTAGTTGTATACCTAATTCTATTCAAAGCCACCTTAGAAAGGTTTGTAGCTGGTTACATAATGCATCAGGGGCGAGTATGGCTGGCACTGAATAAATCCAGTCTCTTCTGAACATAAACTCAAAATGCAGATTCTAATGATGGAGATTTGGTTATAGTATTTTTGCAAAACAAGGAGTACAAATTTCAAGTTGTTGCACATCAGATAAACCAATAGAAATGGACATGAAAACAGTAAATTATATATACATTTTTAAAAGGAGGTACTATCTATTTAAAGTAATGTACATGACAAAATTTGGCAAAATGTAAACAAAATTATCAATAAACCAGGATATGGAAAACTTATGGAAAATCCCAAACAATTAAAGATAAAAACATACCATTCATCAGATTTGGAAATTAGATGGATCATATGCTCTTTAAAATGAGTATAAAGCATTTTTCATTATAAAGCATTTTCATTTCTACAAATACATGTGACTGGAAACATTTAATACATATATAATGACTGGAGACAATATTTGTGCAACATAAAAGTATTCTCTAGAAACGTGTTGCTGCCATGTCTGGGATGCAGCGTTAAAGACACAGTGAATAAGGCATGGTGATGCTTTGCACAACTGATAATGAGTACAACCCAAACACCCAGCAACCAAATCTACTTGTCAAATAGCTTGACCGTGAGGGGGCTGTTGTTTTCTCAGAGGCTGCAAATACTAAAGGAGAACTGCAGCTATAGATCAGTATTTTAGAAACAGTCAATTCATACTGTTTTAAGAAAAAATGAATTATTTATTATATAAAATGATTGGCAGAATACAGAAAAATTATTTCTTTTACCTTTACATATTTAATACAAGTACCAAGCAAAGTATAACATTTTAAAGAACCCACTACAAACTACCAAAAGGTACTCAATTTTGGTGAAGTTTTCAAGTCACAAATACTAAAASTAAATAAAGGTACTTCAAAATACATGAAGTATGAAACAAGTATGGAAACAGTGATCTTYAGTAATGGTTCCTTTAACCAAAATTARCCAACAAGCAAAGATGCACAAGAAAAACACTGCCATGTCAGACAGAAAAGAATAAATAAAATATATTGTTCACTGGGATTGTTGAGCTAAACTCATTTTTTTAAACGTAAATTAGCATTAGGACTCAAAAGAAGAATAAGGATATTTCAGTATTATATATAATTTTTTTCTACCAATAATAGAAGGAAGGATTTGGAGGCCAATCAAGTGCTGAGATCTAAGTGCCTCTCAGAATATTGTGCAACTGAAATCTTCTACCATTACTTAAAGATAATTTACTCATTATGAAGGAAAGAAAAACAATTATAATGAATAGGGCAAAAAAAACCCTTATGATTAAATTCTTCTCTAGCATAGGAATATAATAATTTGTTTTCAAAGAATTACTTTGTATTTTAATTAATCAGGGCAAAAGTGTCACCCTAATTAATAGGCAAATGAGAGATCTCTGATAAGTCAAATATTCATAGCCAAAAAAGAGCTACCTACTGGAAAATTTGCACTAATATCTCATTTGTAAATAAACTAATCATTAAGTTTACAATTAAATTACTTTAAAATAGAGGTGACTGATGAATGTTGCACATGTCATTTGAATATATGCTGAATTATTGTGTCAATAATCATAAGTGCTACTAATAAATATATTAATTCATGCTACAAGAGAAAGAATTGAGACACTTAATTTCACATTTCAGAATTCCTGAGTCTTATCAGAGAAAAACATGTACTAAAACAAAACAAAATAAACTTACCTATAATAGGGCAAATAACACAAATCTGGGAATTAAGTTACTATTATATTTAGAGTTCTAAAGCTGAAAACTATGAGACAGATATATAAGTACTTCCATGGAACTATAAAGATGATTTTAAAGCTTGATTTTTAAAAAAGGCTAAACAAGGCCACCTGAGTGACATCTTCAATGATGGCAAGCCCACCATTTTAAAGGAATAATATTTTTATTTCAAAGACTAATTATTATTATAAAAAGGAAAAAGGTTTATTTTAATAAAATGTTTTAGTAAGATTGCAATGGGACAGCCCTTTGATGGAAGATCTAAGGAGGGTACAGCCAATGTAATCAAACTAGAACATGAGTTCTAATTTTCAGCCACCACCCACTAAATAATTTCCCTTTTGCTTTGCATATTACACAGTGAAAATAAAAAGATTATTTTAAGAGCACTTCAGTCCCACAATGTAGGATTTAAGCTTGTGTGAAAAGGTGTAAATGACCCTATAATAATGTGATGCTTGCAAAAATACATTCAACTGAAAATTAATGTCATTTTTCTAACACAGAAAAGGGAAACAAAGTGGTCCCACTTAACACAACAAAACAAAACAAAAAAACACTGTTTATTCCTTCTGGAAAGACTAAGCAAAGAACATCCAATAATATTACACATTTAAGACTGCATACTTTAACTCAGCTTTATAAGTAAAGAAGATGTATACTTTATAAATAAAGACACTAAGCAGAAAAAATATTTGGGTTATTTCTCTGTTCATAAGTACCCAGAAATAAAATAATTAAAAAACACTAAAGTGCAGACCTATAGGCCATTACAGGCATGATAAAGAGGTACAGCCAAAATTGCATCTACATTTACACTTACATATCCAGAAAATGATTTTTGCTTTTAAAAAAAACTGTGCAATTAAAAACTAGTCAGTTTTGTTTGTGCCGTAATACAAATAGAACTTGTCTCTGCCCACTAGGGAAGTGACTGTTAGACCTTGGACAGCACACTAGGCTCTTGACAATCATACATTTCTTTAGAATCATACAATATTGATTCCACCTCCAGAAAATGTTAGGGTCCTCTTGCTGTAGAATGAAGAGCCACTCGAATTTGGTTGATTGCCTTTAACCAGAGAGGTTTTCAGTTCCATTTCGCAAGCTACAATAGCTGCATTCAATTCCACTTGAGCTCGGTGAACTACATAAAACATGAGGCCTATACTTATAATAATCTGTGAATGAAAATAAAATATTAGTTATTAATATTATATACAGAAAAAAAGAAATAATATATATTTGGCTTAGAAATGCTTCATACAGAATGCTTCTTAAATGTGGTAGGTAAGAGGTTACATATTTCAAATGGCTAACAATCAGTTATTAATTTTCCCTTCTTTTTTGCTTCTCCCAGGAATGGAAGGCCAAAATCTATAAATAACCATTATATGGTATCACGTAAACATACAGCAAATACACTTCCCTTTGGTACATATAATGATGTGTGTTTGATATAAGTCAAACTTGTCTCTTTGTACCAAAAAGCTTCCTTGGAAGGAACAATGAAGACAACAACAACAACAACAAAATATGTCTACAATAGACAACAGCTGGCTAAACTTTACTGGTGTAATTAAGGTAGTATTATGTATATCAGCACAACTTTAAATGTCTACCAGCATTTCCAACCTTACTTAGAAGCACTGCCATTTTAAAAAGAACTAATTTGTGCAAACAAAATTAAAAGTATTAAGCACCACATAAAAAACTGAAAGGCCAATAAACTTCAAAAGAAAGTAACAAGATACTGGGAGCATGAAATTGTATTAAGGAAAAACAAAAATGAAGGAAAACATAATGATAAGAAAAAAAGGCAATCAAAGGGATACTAGGCAAAGCATTAATCTGATAAAACTGAGTCAGTTTCTAGTCTTGGTTTAACTAACTAGTGATGTGCTTTCAGGAAAGTCCCTTAAAATATTTGTGCTTAAATTTCCCATTGTTTGAGAGGAATGCGGTTCACCAGAATATCTAAGCATTCCATATATTCTAAATGATTTTTATTCCAAAATTCATTTGTAAACCAGTTGCAACTGGTGTTATTTACAAAGTGTGTTCTAACCAAAAATGACCCCATAATATAACAGTTTCAATCAAATCTATCATAATTATTAACTCTATGGAAAAAAACCTCTAAATCCAAGTGTTGAAGATGGTAGGGAAGGGAGGGATAGAAGCAGATGGGATAGAAATGGGGATGGGATAGGGGAAGAGAAACCTGAAACTTATGCAAGGGAGTACCAATCCGTTCCTCAATAAAATCCTAAGTAACTTAGGTATTATTAAATGGGTTTTTATATCTTGCAATTATTCTGTTAGTCCTCTTAATAAAAATAAGATATACTTACTGAAAACTCTTAAGACTGACACTTATGAGTGGATGATAATACCATGTGAAGAGATGAAGCAAATGATAAGAAAATGAATTGTGTGTGAATGAATGCTAAGTTCTATTTCAAATATGTTGAATTTAAGGTAACTTTGAGACATCTAGAAAAATTCAGCAAACAAGTCTGAACCTATAGAAAGAAGGCTGAATAAAGATGTGTCCAGAGGCAGAGAAGAGGGGTTTTCTTTATACAAATAAATACATTAGCAGCCACCATAGTAATTAGATTTGTCAAGGTTAAAAAAAAAGTTTTTGGTGTGAGACAAGAAAGCTTAGTCTAGAAACTTGAGAAACATGGATTTAGGAGGTAAAGACAAGCGTAAGCCGGGTAAGGGTAGGGTGGGACAGGTGGGACAAGATAATGTACCAAAGTAAAGGAAAGGAAGTTTCACTAATGAAGGCATGGTCAACAGAGTTTTAGGTTGCTAAAAAAGGTCAAGCTAGATTACAAATGGAAAGTGGATCTGAATTAGATGGGCTTAGTGATGACTTCAGAAATAGTGGTTTGAAGGGAGGACATGGCAGGGCCAAAGTTTAAATTCAAAACCAGTGAAAAACTTTCTCAGGCTTCCAGCAAGCATGAACTGGGTACATCCACACACAGATATTTCACCATCTGCCCTTCTGGATCCTTGGTCCTAACAATCTGTACTGACTATTCAACATGCCTTCATTTCCTCCTTAGCCTAGTGAGGTGTTAACAAAAAGAAAATAAAAACATAAGTAAAAATGTAGTCTAGAAATATTTCTAAATGTTTCTTTACGCAAATGAAAGAACCAAACATAGGCAGAAGGACAAGCCTCCTTCAGAAAGCCAGGCACCTCTTCTATTAAGTGGAAAGTAGGCCAAATGTATGGGCAGGAGCACAAGGAGAATAGATTTCTCAAATGGAAACTGAGATGTTTGCCAGTGGAAAGTGTCTGATTTTTCTATTAAAGAAATAAAGAAGTAATCTGTTGGGAATGAAAAGGGAAGTAATCAAAATTATGAGGAGAATGAAGATAGCTAGAAATAGTCAACCTATTTCAGGGCAACAGCAGAAGAGTGAGAAGACAAAGGAAATGGGGATATAGGATAGTGTTGAGAAACCAGGTGAAAACTTACAACCATGAATTAAATATTATCCATCTGTTTGGCTGTATGATTTTGTTCTCAAAAGAATATGTGCAAAGTAGACCAAATTTGGACTTATTTAGGATTGAGGTTTTGACTGGTGGCAACATAGAAAAATAAAGGGCATGGAAAAGAGTGATTAAAGAGATAAACTGCGATCTAAGTTGGATATCAGTACAAGAATAGCTGTGGATTCCCCTCAATGTCTATTTTGTTTGCTTCCAAAATTTTACTGACACTGTAGATTCTTTTTAGATTGGTGGCTATAAAGCTCAGATGCAAATCTGTGGCTGATTTCTAATAAATAAGAACCTCATGAATACACTTACCCTACTAATTTTTAGCTAAGCTTTGTCTCCTTTTCCTATGCTCATTTTCCACTTCAAGATGAAGTCTCCCCCCACACTTTTATTCTTGTGTACATATTTAATAAGGTACATTAAATCCTTCCTGAAACAAATTAAGTCATAACTAACATCAACAAATCAAACTGAAGCATAAATTAATCTTCAGGGTTTTTTCCTATAAATGCCAGGGTAAAAAATATGTGCCTTTCCCCTCCTATCTTGTGTCTTAAGTATAAATCTGCCAGCTTAAATAGAGAGGTAAGAAATCACTGGACAAAAAACTATAGTTTAAAAAATACCAGTAACTCCAATGACTGCAGTTGAGTTATTTACTAAGAAGCAAATCCTCTGTAATCTATAATAAGGAGGAATTCAACTTAGTAAAATATAAGGTCAAAAGAAAATAATGTTTGAAGTAGACAATTCATTTTCAGGAAACTCAAAACACAAAATATGCTTAAATTTATATTAAAAATATGAGTCTGCAGTGTAAGTCAGGATTTTATAGCACCTTGGGATGACTATAAACATTATATTACAACATATAGTATACTGCAGATTTAATGCATATCAAATTTAACATTATGGATTAACATGCCATATTAACTCAGTAAGTCCTAAGATTTCAAATCTATAAACCTAATAAATACTCAAGTATTTTAAAGTCACTCTAAGTGGCATATTTGTTGCTTAATTTAAGTTTTTGTAGGTTCCTCATCTGGGACAATGGGACAAAATGAAATAATAAGTAATAAAACAAATGTAAACAAATCTTTAAATCTAGATACTAGTTATCTAAAGAAAATATAGATCTGGGGGAAAAATTAGTAAAGAAAGATAAAAATTGACAATTCCTTGATGGGCCTTTATTTATTTATATGTGGTGCTGACACTCAAACCCAGTGCCTCACACATGCTAGGCAAGCACTCTACCACTGAGTCACAATCCCAGCCTCCAATTTTTCTTAATGTAAGCCTTCCACATTAGGATGACTGAAAATAATCACTGCAAAAAAGAATCCTATTTTTATCATTCCTGTATTTTCTTCTTCAAGAAGACTGTCAATAATTATCAGTTCAGTTCTATACTCTTCCACATAGCCAAACAATTAAAAAATGTTATCAAAATATAAAGCAGTATTCGAGGAACAGGAAAGACTGAAAAAAGGAAAAAATCCTCTTAAATTACATTCAATTAAATCTGTTAAGTTTAAATCAGCAAGGCAATTCTAGAGAGAGAAAGAGAAAAAGAGAAAGAGACAACCCTTGGCCTTAAACTCACCTGTAAACAAAAAACAAAATATCCACTAACACTCTGTTCTGCAATGACATCTTCCATTGTCCGCAGGGTGGTACCCAAGTAAGAATTCAGAAGCTGGGTAGGAAGCAGTCCAACTGAAGATGCCATCAGATAGTTGGGTAATGAGAGATCAGTAATCTAGAAGTAAAGGGAATGATTTGTTACCAAGTAAAATAACATAAAAAAGTGTGTTGAAGTATTTACTCGTGGATTTCTTGGCATGGAGAGAACTGAAATACTTATAAAGCATCTTGATTTTTAAAAATGATTATCAAGGGAATGTATACAGAATGCAGTTTAGAATGAAATAAAAGTTCAAACAAATTTAAACATTCTATTATTCTATCACTAAAAAAGAACATCTGTGACTATTTTATCCTCATATGTAAATAAAATCCACACACAGATCAATTTGTCAGAAGTCTTGTTAAGATTTCCTCATGTCATTAAATATTCATAAGCATTCTTACATGGCAGTGTGGCTGCTGGCCCTGAAGCCAGATAACCCTAGAATGGCATTTCAATGTTGAGAACTCAATGAGCTACTCTGTCTTTATGACTTTTCATCTGTAAAATAAAAATAATTATCCTTAGATGCAGAAAAATTTCATTGCTTCCTTATTTCTTTGTGTCTATGTATGGAATTGTTCTCTTGCTACTATTTATAAAACCCAACAAAATTGCAGCAAAAACCTTTGTTTATTAACCTGTGTGAAAGGCAGCATCTAAAATATTCCTGATTCAATTTCCTGGTTTTCATGCCCTGTGAGATTCTTTACCCTGGAGTGTGGGCTGGACTGACTGCTTACTTCTTAGCAGACTATAGCAGAAGTGACAACATGTCACTTCTAAGATTAAATTGCAAGAACAGGATTTCCATCTCTTTTTTGAGTAGGTCAGCTGCCATACTGTAAGTAGCTCTATGGAGGTCCACATGGAAAGGAACTCATTCCTTCAGCCAGCAGCTAGCAATGACCTGAGGTGTCTGCCAACAGCCACACAAGTGAGGATGGAATTAAACTAAGTTAATCAAGTCTTAAGATGCCTGCAGCCCTGGCCAACACCTTCACTGCAGAATTGTGAGGAAGTCACAGGTCCCCACTAAACTGCATAGGAATTCCTGATCCACACAAATTTTGACACAATAAATGTTTTAAATCTTGAAGTAATCTGTTACATGGCAAAATAAATGACTAATACATTAGACATCTCAGTTATTTTAGGATAGCTCACTAGGAGTAGAATTACTAATTCAAACAGTAAAAACTTTCTGCTATGTTTCCAAATATTCATAGTAATTCACATATATTTCAGTAATAACATGAGTATGCCCATCACACTCTTATTAACTTATTAAAATTCAATATATTTCTGTTTAATACAGTAAAAATGTTTCATCATTATTTAATCTGTACTATATTCATTTAAAGTGATGTGAGTTTTCTATATTAATTTTTCTATAGCTTTATTTGTTCACATTTGCCTTTTTTTTCTTGAAATGTTAAGTGATTTTGTTTTTCATAAGAGCTCTTTGTAGTAAGGATAATCTTTGGTCATATATATAAAAACATATGAGCATATGTTTTACCCTAAAGCCTGTCAGTCTGTGTGCCCTCCTTTTTTTTTTTTTTTTAACTGTCCCCCTTTCTTTCTTCCATTCATTCATTCATTGTCTTGCTAAGTTGCCCAGGCAGTCTCAAGCTACTGGGCTGAAGAGATCCTACTGTCTGGTTCCTCTTTATGTTTTGATACAAGGTTTCCAAATGCCCGTATAATCAAATACCATCATCTTTGCCTCCAATTTTTCCACTGCTTTTAGTTTACTTTTTTTTAGATCCTATTAGTTTTTACCTTCTTTTTTCTGATTGTTTTATTTTCTAATACTTAATACTAAATTCTTCTGGAGATTATTCAGATTAAAATGAGGATACAGCCTATTATTCATCCCTTCCATATGTATAGTCAATTTTCTTAGCATTACATATTAGATAATCAGTAGCTTCTCCTTTATGATATAAGTTATAAACAGCTGTTGTATATATAAAAGGGCCCATTAGGGGCTCTATTACCGACAATCCATATTTCAAATCTCATATTGCAACCAAAATTGTAGCAAGGACTATCAGTTCATATTTGGCAAGAAATGTCCAACTCCATTCAAGCCACTTCATTGCTCTTATTTTAAAAATTGCCATTACTGTTCTTACTACTTATTCTCAACAGATCATTCTGTCATTCAAAAAGAAAAATAAATAGTAAATTATCAGGATTAGGTAAACTTAAAAATAATCTGGATAGAACTGGAATATCCACAATTTTCAGTCTTCTTATCCAGAAATGTTTCTAAATTTCTTAAACTGTTCTTTGCTAAACTGTTGTTTATTAAAGTTTGTGGTTTTTTAACTTAAATATATCATACATTTCCTTAAGCATTTCATGTTATTATTGTTACCACTCTTACTGACCTTAAGAATAGTTTCTCTGTAGATTACTGATATGTAAAAAGGTATTGACTACATTATTTAGTTTTTTTTAACTGCTTTTAAGATCCAGTATTTTAATCAGCAATACATTACTCTATAACTACAATCTAATAAAATAATCATGTAATCATAATTTCACTAAAGTTACATTCATTTCTATAGATGGCACACTAGAGATGTACCACTGCCAGTCTAGAAAAAATATTTCAGCAACAGGTTGTTAACAATTCACATTATCAATCACTGACTCAGTATCTATCCATAAAATGTTCTAATAGGTGCTGGAAAGAGACAGAAAGCAGGACATAATACTTACCCTTGAAGGATTTACATACTGACAAGTGCACACAAAACACCTTAGAAAAAACAGAAAGGGAGCCTTTGGAAGACTGTACACAGCATTCAACAGTAGAAAGCTGGGTGCAGGGGGCACATACCTAGAGTCCCAATTACTTGGGAGGCTGAGGCAGGAGGATTGCTTAAAACTTAAAAAAGTTGTAAGAAAGTCTGGGGATATCACTAAGTGGTAGAGCACTTGCCTAAGCATGTGCAAGACCTAGGGTTCAACATCTGTTCTCTCACACACACACACACACACACACACACACACACACACACACACACAAAGAGTGAGGAGTACAGAGGAATTAAAATCAAAATCAGATGCAGGAGTAGAGATCAAAGGGCAATTTTGTGGCAAAAGAGGCCTTCAGAACAGGCACCAGAAAGCTACACATGGGTTTGGCAAGCAAAGACAAGAGGAAGAAGGCAGGTGTTTTAGGAAGAAAATGAGCAAAGACAATTTGGCAGGGTAGGCACAGGATGTACTAATGAAGTTGGCAGTACATTTTGGATTATTTAAGGCACAAACAAAAGAATAMTGAAAAATAAAGATGGGAAAAGTAACTGGGTGATACTTGTTAGGAGCTTGAAAAAAGAGGAGTAAGCCTCTGTGCAGAGGTGAGTTTACTTACAGGAGCAGAAAATTTTCTTTAGAACAAAATGTCATAAATGTATGAAATGAGTAATTAAGACAAAGTGAATCATAAAAATTACTATGTTATAGTTAATAATAAAGCATCACACATTATGAAAATTATCTTCAAAATTAAAGCTACATTACAAAATATCAGAATGCAAAGTTTCAGTCCTTAGCTTTAAATGTAATGATGTTTTTCTAAATAGAATATGTAACTGACATTCAGGGATGACATCAATAATATTCAAATGGGAATGTTAAAATTGGATTTCATAAATCTGAAACAACTCTCAATTCTTTAACAATAATGTTGTCCAATGCATAAAAGTGGTCAAGTTAATCCTAAGGAGAAATTATTATTATTTATAACATACTTCCTTTCTGTCAAGTTGAAATACCTAAAAGAAAGCAAAAACCCAGTTTTAATCTTTGTAAGCAGTTCTACTAGAGTGTTCAATGATTTAACTAGTACAACAATGCAATAATATACAGTTTTTAAACTATTAACAACTTGATTAACATAAAGATTATAAATGATTTCAATTTAGCACTTCCTTTAAGTCAAAATCCTACTCAGAACCTTCACTCAGCTCCATAATTTAGAATGCTTAATCCAACCCTCTCTCCCCAGTAAGCCCTCACCAACCAAAGTTTAAATTTCTATCTCCTACTTTTTGTTTTTTTCCTCCTAGTTTTACTGTCCAGAAAGACATTAAAATGAACCTCAGGCCATCCTACTGAAATTCCTAAGTATCCTGGGATCTCAGCTCAGAACTTGTCTTCCAAATCCAAACACCCTGTAGAAATCTCAGCCTAGGATATGAATGTCATTCTGCTGGTTAGCTACTATAATAGATAATGAGTTTCAGGGATGGCAAACATCATCTGATTATATTTACCCTTATTCCCAGAGGTTCTCAACTTTACTTGAGTCAGTAGGGGTTAATGTAAAATAGTCCTCCATTTCTTGAAACAAAATAGTACCAATCTGGAGTACATGGAGAGGAATAAAAAGCCTTAAATCTGAAGAGCAAGAATTGATTGACCACCACCGAACAGGTCATTTTTGAAGCTGACTATAAAAGAACCTCTAGATTTATCATTCAGACACAGCACAAAGTACAGATCCCAGGTCCTCTCAGACACAGCACAAAGTAGAGTTCCCAGGCAGCCCTGCATTTCCTCATTTTCTAAGTTTACTTCTATTTACAAGGGCTTTACTGGCTTTAATTTAATCCATGAAGAAACTATTGTTTTTTATGTAGACTTCATCAAAAGATGCAATGATGAATTTAAAGGCAATCCACGTTCAAAAAAACCCTCAAATTTTATCCATAACTGTGAATTAAATATTATTTTTGTCAAATTATACCTTCCTACATAGGTTATGTTTCTAGGTTTATATATTTGGGTTTTTTTTTTTTGGGGGGGGATGGCATTTAAACTCAGAAATGCTTTACCACAGAGCTACATCCTCAGTCCTTTTTATATTTGAGACAGGGTCTTGCTAATTTGCTGAGGCTGGACATCAACTTGTAATTCTCTTGCCTCAGCCTCCCAAATTGCTGGGATTACAGTTAAGGTATATTATTTAAATTATAGTTAAATATTACATTGTAATATTATGTAATATAATACATAGAAAAGTCACAAATCCCTAAGATGATTTTAAAGGA